TGATTGCGTTCAAGACATGCAAGAAAGCACGTATTCAAGTAATGAATTTTGAACATTTGATATTGGGTTAGCATGATGAGCCGAGCCTTATATGCATGCAAGACAAATGGATGTGAGACATAAGCATGCTAACAAAACGTGATGCTCTATACTAATCATCGTAAGAGAATATATAAAAGGGAGAAAGACGCGAGGTTGGAAGACATACACATTATTACAACATTTGTTCCCTCACGCAGGAGGGTGCGAATCAATGTCCGAAAGTCCGAATTAACTAACTATTACAAAACTGGGCGAATGAATAAGAATTTACTTAACTAGGCTAATTAACTACTTTATTACAACAATTTAACTAGCTATACCAATTAACTAAGCTAATTAACTACTTTATTAGAACAATACTAAGTACAATAAGATTAATTTACAACTATGATAATTATAACACCAATGAAACAATTAATCGCGTTCGACAAAGACGTAAGTGAAGATGGATGAGGGTTGCATGCACAGCGCCTGAGAGCTACTCTATCTGTCCAAGCCAACTCTGTTTCATCTTCAGCCACTGTCTCTGTTTTCTACAAAACTGCACTGCTGGCCACACACTGAGGGCTGACTGTGCATCAGTGATGGCCGGCCGGGTCTACAGATGGCTGGCCGTGCCTCAATTTGGTGTGAAACTCTATTTTTGTGTTCTAAGGTGAACTGGTGCAGACAGAGTGTTCTCAAGCTCTGTTTGTCCCATCTTTCCTTCTTTGTCATGGAGAGGGTCGAGAGAATGATGAAGTTGGTCCTGAAACCATCAACGAGCAAGTTGATTGCTTGATGATTCCGGACACAAGTTTGGACAAAAGTCTATAAATACAATGAATAAGACCACCTCTCCCTCTTGTCATAAAGTGAGCTCAAAGAGGGAGGTTGCAACGCTTCAAGAATCATCAAAATGCCATGAATTAGCATGTGACGACTCTTGACACAAGGAACTTGGCATAACGTCCGGCCAAGTTCAAGTGATTCTAGCCATTTTCTTTATATGGGTTGTTCCAAGTTTTAAGCCAATTTTATGAAGCCTTGCCATTCTTTAGTCCATTTGTCCATAGTGATGTTAAAGTCCGCTAAACAAGAAGTAATGTCAAACAAGAGGTTCTTCTAACACAAGATGGCTGGCCGTGCCTCAATTTGGTGTGAAACTCTATTTTTGTGTTCTAAGGTGAACTGGTGCAGACAGAGTGTTCTCAAGCTCTGTTTGTCCCATCTTTCCTTCTTTGTCATGGAGAGGGTCGAGAGAATGATGAAGTTGGTCCTGAAACCATCAACGAGCAAGTTGATTGCTTGATGATTCCGGACACAAGTTTGGACAAAAGTCTATAAATACAATGAATAAGACCACCTCTCCCTCTTGTCATAAAGTGAGCTCAAAGAGGGAGGTTGCAACGCTTCAAGAATCATCAAAATGCCATGAATTAGCATGTGACGACTCTTGACACAAGGAACTTGGCATAACGTTCGGCCAAGTTCAAGTGATTCTAACCATTTTCTTTATATGTGTTGTTCCAAGTTTTAGGCCAATTTTATGAAGCCTTTCCATTCTTTAGTCCATTTGTCCATAGTGATGTTAAAGTCCGCTAAACAAGAAGTAATGTCAAACAAGAGGTTCTTCTAACACATGAAAGAGAGACTATACCGTTGACAATGAATCTCCGAAAAGATTAAGCCATTAGGTAGAAGTCTCTCTTACATGTTTTAAGCAACCTCAATTGGTTGAAATCATTCTCAAGCATGAAAGAGATAGATGGTGGATTGATTGTTAAAATTAGACTTTCAGACATGGAAATAAATTGAAGAAAAGCTTAGAACAATATATAACATGTTATGTAAGCACACTTATGAGACAACAAATGAATTAACCAAAGCTTGAACCAATTAAACAACTTAGGGTAGCCCTCAAACAACCCTTATTAGATGAAAAACAGAGGCTCAAAGTTAATGAAAAGAGCCTTAAAAAACTAAACAACGAAGAAGGGGAACAAGGCTAGTAAGCAAGAACAAGGAGGGGTGGCTAACCCCCCCTACTTTTGAAACCTCAAAGCATGATTTTTAGCCCTTTTTTAAACTCTGAAAATCAGTGCAAGGAGCAAAGAGAATGAGTGTAAAAGAAAGGTTTGAGCTGTAGGTAAAGATATAGAAAGAGCGTAAACTCTCTCTACTCTTTTGGTAGCTCTTCAAACCCAATCTTAAACACTTAGAATAGACTCAAAGCAACACAAAACAATGGGAACTAAGTAGGAAATGAAAGATATGAAAGCAAGAAGGAAGAAGGAAGATAAAAAGCTTATACCTTGCAAATAAGTTAGCTTTTGATTATGATCCAAGCTTAGTCTCAACCCACTCTCAAACTTGAATTATGCTTCTCAAAGATCAACCAAGACTCTAAGATGGTGAGACAAGGTTGTGTATGGTGTACGGAGATGACACAAGAGAGCTAGGTTAGCTTAAAGGTTGCTTGCCATGGAAGAAGGAGGAGGGAGGAGCTCTCAAGGTATATATAGGCTTTCTAAATTTTGTTCAACCTATAAAACAGTAACACAGCTTCATTTTTATAGAATTTGAGCCAGAAATATCATAAATATCTTCAAAAATAGACAGCTGGCGACCTCTCACCCAAAACAGTGTTTCTCGTCACCAAGGCCCGGTCAGCCGGCGACCACTGATGCACGGCCGGGCCTTGATGCCCTCTCCTATTTTTTGGTTCAAACTCAGCTCAGGGTGGTAAAAGGTCCAAAAATGAGACTTAAAGGTTCAAACAAAGGTAAATGTTAAAGATTTGAGGCTATTTCGAGAGACTGACTAAATCCGAATCGCTGTGAATTCAAAGCACACAATTCAACTTTCATCATCGAGTGTATAGAACCAAGCGCCTAAGTCTTGCGGGCGGTCAAAATGGGGTGTCTACAGCCACCTAAGGCAAATTAATATGTTCAAAAGTTCTCAAGCTTATAAGAAAAAAAAAGGGCAATGAAAGAGATCATTAGGTCGACTTGTTAGCGACTAGCAAAGTTACAAAAGGTTTACAATCCCTGGTTGAGGTGATGAGGGACAAGGGAAGTTGAAATGTGGAAGGGCTTGTTGCTAGCGATTATAAAGGAGTCGTGGGGGTCCCGTGCCCATTAAGGTGACAAGGAACAACAAGGGTCTCCCTTTTCCTTTTTTTCTCTCTCTACCTTTCGTTTTTCTCTCTTCATCATTTATTTCTTGCTCACTCTTAATCTTCTCACACATTCCCAAGCTAATTGATGCCTTTAGAGCGGTGGTTAGCATTCTCTTTATGAAAAACTTCATAGTTTAACTCTAGGGTAAATTAAACTAACCTCCCTAAAAATTAGAAAGAGAATAGCAAGCCTCACATGCTTCGTACAATTACACTATACTTTTCTAAGATTTAACATATCATAACCTTTTTTCCTCTCACCATTAGTTATATTGTTATAATATGAATGAAAAAGTAATTTTTTTCAATTCTTTTACACTGAAATATATATACTTTTGTCATTTTATACATCATCTGTGTTAGTTATGCTTATTTTACTCTAGCTATAAAGAAAATCAATACAATTATATTAAATTTGTAAGACTTATTGTATGTTTTTTTTCAAATGTCAAGGAAATCAGTATAAAATAGCTTTTAACCAATCATACAATGACACGCGGCATAGACACCATGTCAACATGCGCATGGCACACGACGTTGATGTCAAAGAATGCATCAACATATGCCTCGACATTTGATGTTAGCACACGTGTTTGCACATGTGTTAGGGTTGTTGCCAGGCAACGCGTGGCACAATTTGAACCACTCATCTGAACGGTGGAAAATTGCAATCTGGCGACATGTGGTTCAAATCATGGCCCTCAGATGTAATCTGATATGTCCATGCACATGTCACGATGTTATCATGACGTCAACGTCCAATGCCTTTCTTTTTATTTCTCCATCATCCCCTCTCATTCTTGTATTTTCATTTCAACCCCAAGGATAATACAACCGTCCTCCTCGAGTTCATACTCTATTCTAGTTTGACCCTTGCTGATTTTGATTTATTGTTTTTGGGCCTTTTTATTACAATATGGCCCAAACTCCTTTTCTTTTTCTCTACTTAGCCCCCTAATTTTCTCTATAAATATAGGCCAACTCTCTTCAATTTTGGGGGGCTCTTCTCCACAAAGCTACCTCTATTTTTTGAAAACCAGAGAACACACACACACACACACACTCTCTCTCTCTCTCTCATTTTACACTTTGTAAATGGCTTAAAATGCTATATTGAGTAGATTAGTTCTTAAGCTTACAATTACTTCTTTTTAGGCTATTGTCTAAGCTTTTACTTCTTCTTAGGCTATTGTCTAAGCTTGTGTGCAACATTTTTGTAACCTTGTTTAATGCTTGTCATACAATCTTTTTCTTAACCAAATAGCTTATTTTGTACAAATCTTATGCATAGTTGTGCCTCATTATTTCTTATATTTCTTTAGCTAGTTGCTGACAATATTGTAACTTGTCTCTAACTTTGTGACACATCAACGAACTTAGGTCATGTTTGATTCACAAGATTAATAGTGAAGTATTAATAATCCTATTAAATTAGTGTGGTATTCACTATCCAATTGGATTAATTAAGCTTGTGTGCAACATTTTTGTAACCTTGTTTAATGCTTGTCATACAATCTTTTTCTTAACCAAATAGCTTATTTTGTACAAATCTTGTGCATAGTTGTGCCTCATTATTTCTTATATTTCTTTAGCTAGTTGCTGACAATATTGTAACTTGTCTCTAACTATGTGACACATCAACGAACTTATTGTCTTTGCTTGCCCTTTCAAACTAAGATTTGTTTACTGTTTCTATAACATGACCAACTGAACATGAGGCCTACGTCATGAAGTGATTTTTATTTAACAGAAATATAGAATCATTTATTGAAATTTTGAAACTTAGAAACATCTATTGAAATTTTGAAACTGGCAATCTACGTATTTGATGTCATAAAAAATTTAGAGATTATACAACAAATTCCCCCAAGAGAGTAGAAGGAAGAAACATCATACTTCTCCTTTATCTCAAACTAAAATAATAAAATGAAAAAAGAGATTAAATTGTCCCTATCGACATAGACGTGTTCAATTCAATCTGAGGCCATGGGCCCGGTCACTTTGTTAACCAGTTCCCCAAAAAATATATACTACATTGAAAACAATATTCAAAATTTGGATACCAAAAAATAAAAAATAAAAAATTCTAATAAATAGCTATAAGTTTACTATGTGTAGGAGTACCCTTACATCTTCTGTGCGCCAAATCACTTCTACTTATGAAAATAAGAGTATTGACATCTGCTTTTCTTATGAATTTCACTCATAAGTGTTATCTAACAAGGCAAAAAAGAAAGACAGTCTACTTAACCCATATCACCAAAAAAAAAACAAAAAAGAAAAAAAAAAAAAATGAAGAAGAAGAAGAGGTAGTAGTAGTAAAGAAAAGCAAAAAAAAAAGGATTAAATTGTCTCTATCAGCATAGACACGTTCAATCTGAGCCCATGGGCCCGGTCACTTTGTTCACCCATTCCCTGAAAAATATACACTATATTGAAAACAATATACATATGTGGAAACAACACGAATAAAGAATTTAATAAATAGCTATAAGTTTTACTGTGTAGAAGTACCCATTGTCCATTCTAGAACAACAAAGCAACTGCACAACTAGGACAACTATACTGGGGAAGAAAATCTGTATCAGACTTTTTAATCCCTGTTGATTCATAGAGATTTGTCCACAGATGTAGAGGAAGAACCAAAACCTGTTCGGATTGTTGTTGAATTCTGGCTTTGGCTTCCACTGAAACTATGGTTTTGCTTCTCTCGATGAAAGTCTCTCATAGCTTTAAACCTCAAATCTTCAGTGTAGGAATTAGGTTCTGGGATTACTTCTGGAATACTCATTTGGCCTTCAAGCATGCTCACTACCTCGGACATTGTAGGCCTAAGCGATGGTGATGCGTTTGTGCACAAGAGTGCAACTTTAACCATCCTTCCCACTTCTACATTATTGAATTCAGTCCCCAACTTCGAATCAATAAGGTCCGCCAAGTTTCCACCTTGTTGCAAGTGGCAGGCCTACATTCAAAGTAACTTGTTTCATTTTCCAAGAAAAAAAAAATTGGAAGAAAAGAAATGACTGACAAGAATGTTCAATGTTGTCCTAGCTTAACAGGAAACTATTGAAGAAGAAAGGAAGTCCTCAAGTACCCAATCTAGCAGACAAATGCAATTGTTACTCGGCATGTAATTGTTGTTGTTCTTCCCACTAACAATTTCCAAAGCCACAACACCAAAGCTATAAACATCAGCCTTGTAGGTCAAGTAACCCCACAGTGCATATTCTGGGGCCATATATCCTCTACAAATCAAGATTTTGATGTCTTATTCAATATTCAAAAGTTACTTATATATATTTGAACAAGGTGAGCATTTAACTATGTTTCGGGTAGGACAAGGTGACTCACATAGTTCCAGCAGCTCGAGTGCTAATGTGGGATTTTTCATCTTCATTAAGCCTAGCCAATCCAAAGTCTGAAATTTTAGGGTTTAGGTTTTTATCAAGCAGCACGTTAGTAGCTTTAATGTCTCTGTGAACGATCTTGAATCTTGATTCTTCATGCAGAAAAGCTAAACCTCTAGCAATTCCAATGCAGATATTAAGCCTTGTTGGCCAATCAAGTATCAATAGTCTGTCATCTGGATTTGAACATTATCCAACACTCGAACATTAGTAAGGCAATTAAAATAAGTGGCTAATAAAATCACTGTCAACAATTTTCACATTAAAGCGTGTGGCTATCAAGCAAATGACAAAACTTACCAAACAAAGCACGTGCAAGACTATTGTTTTCCATGTACTCATACACCAATAACAATTGATCCCCTTCAATACAACATCCATGAAGCTTAACAAGGTTTGGGTGTTGCAAACAAGAAATCATCCCTATTTCATTCAAAAATTCGCGATTTCCTTGCGTTGATTTAGAGGAGAGTTGCTTCACTGCAATTTCAGTACCATCAGACAATAGACCCTGCATCCAACATTTATTCAAAATCCATGCATAAAATCTATGCAGTAACCTAGGTTTATTATAGGGATAGCTAGAACACCTTGTAGACAGGACCAAAACCACCTTCTCCAATCTTGTTTGCAGAATCAAAATTTTTAGTGGCAGCTTTAATTTGTCTCAAAGTAAAAGAACCTGTTTGCAACTCTAGACCTTCGAAATCTGTCCAGGAATGGAATGTAGAATGAGCCTCTAATTCATGTTAACTCATAATTTGTTTTGGGTGAGGGGTGAAAGAAAAATGAACGCATGCCTTGAACAATTGGATCAAAAGAGAAGTTTTCGGATATCACAACCTTCAATATTTTTCTCGGAAAGTTACAAAAGTATTGCCAGTATACTAAAACAAGAATAAATCAACAAGAAGCAGTAAGCGCATACTTTCATCCAATGCTCACCTTTTCCAATCTTTTTTCTGCCTTTCAAATATCTTTTCCACAAAAGGATACTGACTATTAGAAAAATAACGAATATAGCCACAACTCCAACAGCAATATAAGCAGTAGCTGCTGCCTTCTTTCTACCTTCTGAACAAGATTTGAAAGCTGCCCAAAACAAACCCAAACAACTGTGCTAATGAGAAAAAAAATAGATGTGAGCACAACCAAAATTTTGAACAGAGAATGCATTCATTTGATAGGTTAGGGAAAAAACTAGCGCTCATAGAGCATATATTCTTTGCCAAAAACACTTACAAAGAGAAAACATGCTCTCACTTGTGCATGAAAATAGATAGACACACAAAAAGAGAACCTAAGACCAAAAATTTACTGACAACATGATCCCAATATCAAATATGTGTGGGTAAATTGCAGCGAGTTCCCTGAGGTTTTGGCCTTGGGCAACACACACACACACAAAAACAAAACAAAAAAAACCCTCAACTTTCAAAAATGGCAATGCATCTCCTGCTAATTTTTTAAAATAAAAAATTCTGTTGACCATGTTTACCAAGCACAAATGCCAGTTTACCCTTCAAAGCTGTTTAAAAACAGTACAAATTGACAATAGTAACCCATAAGGTGAAAATGAAATGACATATTTGCCTAGCTCACATAATTATAACCCAACGCAATGACTAATAATTATAAATTAATAGATTAACTAACTTTCCTATACAATTATCCATACAATATCATCCTAATAACCTGTATAAGAAAAAATAATACACACCTTTCATAAATTGATAAATTATTTAACTTCATTTATAACTACCATATAATAATAATTTTATGAACCATATAATACTAAATTTATAAACCTTGCTACCTCCCCTATCCCACCTCTGTTTGGGTTAAATAGTGTACACAAGTACCATGAGTTGTTAATGCCATTTACCCTGTGCATATATAAATATTTACATGCATATTTTGAAGAATAACTGTTAACACAAAAAATTGAGTACTGAACCTCAGAATTCCAAACTTGAGAGCAACTTCAACTCGTTGTCATCATTACCATCCTCACCTGGATTGACTTGGTCACTTCCAAACTTAGTTTCAAGACCCGAAACAAACCACAAGACCAGGCAAGCCAGAAAGATCAAAAGAATCTAAGATAGGTATCAAAACCTTCGCCAACCAATAGTTGACACTGGTTCCTTAAGTTGGGATGTGAATCAGCCAATGGTGGTGACAATTATAGATGAGTCTCACAGAGATGGAAAGGGAGATGGTGACGGTTAGAGGTGATTGTGGGCAATGGTGGCCATGGTCGATGATAGTGGTGATGATGGGTGTGTGGGTGGTTCATGGTGATGTGGAGAGAGAGAGGAACAAATTTGGTAGACGGATAAAGAGGAGAGGTATACATTTGGTTTGGGTTTTGCTATGGTGTGGGTATTCCAATTAGTACTAGATTACGATTAGTGGTTTAGTAGTACTAGTGCTTTTTGACTTGTATTCCATGCACCATTGAGCAATTGGCTATGACAAAGTTGCATAGAATGTGTGGTATATATATTTAATCCAATCCAACCCAACATCTTATTTCTGATTATTTACTTAATATTTTATGTTTTACTAGTTTACCCTTCATTTGTCAGCTTTCATAATGCCAGGGCAGTTTCTATAAGTTTTCAAACTACGGAGGCCTTTTTGCTGACATATCAAACCCCAGGGGAGGTTGTTGCAATTTACCTCATGCATACGTTAATGGATTTAGAACTCTAGCATCTGCTCTGGTTCATAATTCCAATATGATTGTGGTGGCTCTAACCTTCATCAAGGATCTCAATATAGGTGTTTCACTCTAAGAATCCTTTTCCTTCTTTAGCTGTCTGAAGTAAGAAAATTTCTTCACTATAAAGGGAAACAAATCTCCTTTAAGCATATCATAAGCACTACATTCAATAATGACATGGAGCCTAAAACCTAGCTACTTCAAGCATCCATAGAAGCACTAATTTGCTTGTCATTATAAGAAATTAGATTTATTTATTTTTGAAAGTTTTTTTTTTTTTTTTTTTTTTTTTTGGGGGGGGGGGGGGGGCCACTAAGTTGAACTCCAACTTTTTTAGCTTCTCATTCTAATTTTAAATTTGCAATACAGTGGAAAAAAACATTATGCTTGTTTTTTAAGAATCGTGCGCGCGCGCGCGCGCACACACACACACACACACAAAAACTAGAATACAACAGAAATAAAGGATGAAGGAATCAATGAAAGGAATAGAGAAAGGGGATGGCACAGAAGTGAGAAATTCCCATACTCACAGATATAGAGATATTTCTAATCTCATCTGCTGAAGTTTGAAGTTGGCAGCAATGTCTCTCAAAAAGCAACAATATTCCCAAGAGACAAGGGAGTAAGATATCAACAACCACCCACCACCAAGCAATGATGAAGATCCACAGCTGAGGCCTCCCTAAGACCTTTCAAAGCTAGCATCAGCCAGCTTGGAGGAAAGGATACTATACTACTGCTAACATCATAACTTAAAAATGCCCTCTACGTCAATTAAGTCCAAAATTAATGTGAGGCCACAATATAATGATCTAGTTTAGGGTTCAAATTGATGATTTATGAGGCACAAAGGGTGGTAAAAAAATATGTAAAATGTGTAAGGTTTTTATGGGATAACAAAAAGGTAGGGTTTGAGTATTGTAATTAGAAGAAAATAGAGGATGATTAGGGGCTATGACTAGTACTCCATGAATAGTAACAGAGTCTGAAGAGGAAGGATTAAAAGGATTAAAATAGCAACAGAGAAAAAGAAGAAGAAAGGAATCATAAAGAATAAAGAAAGGGGATGGCACAGAAGTGAGAAATTCCCATACTCACAGATATAGAGATATTTCTAATCTCATCTGCTGATGTTCGAAGTCGGCAGCAATGTCTCTCAAAAAGCAACAATATTCCCAAGAGACAAGGGAGTAAGATATCAACAACCACCCACCATCAAGCAATGATGAAGATCCATAGCTGAGGCCTCCCTAAGACCTTTCAAAGCTAGCACCAGCCAGCTTGGAGGAAAGGATAGTATACTACTGCTAACATCATAACTTAAAAATGCCCTCTATGTCAATTAAGTCCACAACTAATTTGAGGCCACAATATATTGCTCTAGTTTAGGGTTCAAATTGATGATTTATGAGGCACAAAGGGTGGTAAAAAATATGTAAAATGTGTAAGGTTTTTATGGGATAACAAAAAGGTAGAGTTTGAGTATTGTAATTAGGAGAAAATAGAGGATGATTAGGGGCTATGACTAGTACTCCATGAATAGTAACAGTCTGAAGAAGAAGGATCAAAAGGATTAAAATAGCAAGAGAGATGAAGAAGAAGAAAGGAATCATAAAACAAGGCATTCCACCTAGATTTCCGTAGGCATCACACCTAGGATTAGATATTTGTTTTCGATAAATACACCTAGGTTTTAAAATTGCTTCAAAAATTTTGAACTCAAGTTTAACTTCCTGTTTGGAAACTAAAGGGTTTGACCCTTTAAACCTATCTAAAAACCAAATAAGACTCATATATAAATAAAATAAAAAATAAAAAATTGAAAACCAACTAAGACTTACAATAAAAATAATAATAATAAAACAAACTGAAAACCAAAGATGGAAAAAGGAGAGCTTGAGAATTGTAACTTGATTTTATTTGGTTCATGCACTTACTATGAGGGTGATGAATAAAAAAATATTAAGCAACCAAATGATATGGATCCAAATGATAGTTGACTTCTAGTCCATTCATGGTCTAGATCAATGATCGTATGAAATCCAATTAAACAATATTGCAAGGTCATGATGAATGAGCTAGTCTTCAGTGCACCAGCCCAGGATGTGCTGCTAGTTCCAACAACAGTAAAAAGAAAGATCTCATCAAATATTAAAATTAAATCCACGAAGTACATGTGCAATCACAGGTTGTCAAGCCCGTGTTTGCATAGCTTTGGAACATCGCATGGTGGATTTACACCCATATTTGGACAAAACAGGCAATCCCTTCTTCTTCTTTTTTGGTAAAAACTGGCAATCCCTGCAACACCATTCATGTGAGCAACTAAGCCTAACGGTTCTAGGCATTTCAATAGCCAAAAATAAAATGATAAAACTATTCAAGAGACTCTCAGATGACAAACACTGATTAGAGACAGAATATCTGTACTGGCTTTATAATGCTCTATGGCCTTTAATTTTTTGGTGTGGCACAAAGAGCTTGGCAACTTAGTTCCATAAAAACAATAGTACCTTTGGGCCTCAAAATAACGTGTTTTGGGAAAGCATACTTTGAATTATATATGTACACACAGATTATGTAACCAGAACATAAGCAAAGAAAAGGAAAGAAAGCTATACAAATTACTTACTAGGATTAAGCGAAATAGCTGATATTATGGGGCCATAAACACCTCTCCTAGGAATACGTGTAGTCCCTTTGCCAGCCCAATAAAATCGGATTTCCAAAATATTATCTGTCACACTGGTATTGAATTGTTCTATCACTGGCTTTAGAGCCCCACCAGCCACACCTTCAATATTGAAATCCTTCCTAACTAATTGCCCCTAAGATAAAAAGAAAATTGATTAAGCATTCCTTATAACTTGAATTAATAATATAAAAAATAAAAACAAAGAAAAAAAAGGGTATATGTTTACGGACATGACAAAATTACCTGAATATAAATATCAAATATTCGCTTCCCAAGACTGCTATATGTATTGTCATTTGTAAAAAGTATTTCAGCAAAGTGCAGACTAACGGTGTAACTCCCATTTTCTAAGCAGTAACGGAAGTAAGTAAGTGAAAGAGGCGAAATGCGCGCCGTACTATACAATTCAGAGATGTTTGTTGATGGAGAAACTTCAGTAAAACGTGCATTCTGGTAATCGTTATCATCCATGAAGTCCCCAGTGCTACTTAGACCCCAATAGCTATTTATACTATTAAAATATTTTGCTGTGCCACCTAGGACTTGTGCATCTCCTTCGTACAAAACCATGTTATCATTTTCTTTCATAGTCAAATCATTTCCACCACAGTTAACATGTAACGAACATCCATCTGCCATAAAACGAAAAAATATAAACAATACCATAATGCAATTTTAAATTGCATTTAATAAAGACTCTACAATAAGTGAAATATTGGTGGAAATGGCATAAGATGCACTAGACACATTATGATTTTTTCTAAGAGACATTAATTATGAGATTAAGCTTTTGGTTAGGTTGGCTTTTAGTTTCCTACTAGACTGTAGTATTATGGACAACTTTTCGAATTCTTAATTTGCAATTTTTTATATATATATTTTTTATTTTATATAATCTAAATCACTTCTAGGGTCAAAATGAAAATAAAAGAAGTAAGGTTGTGTCAAATTAGAGAGCATATAAAATAGCACCAGCTTGATTTATAAGTTCATGGAATTCACTTCTTTTTGGTAACAATATTCATCATAACAGGTCTGGTATCCCCCAGGACATGTTCTTTCCAAAAGCTTGGAGGTTAGGTATACTAAGTTCTGAAAATAAGGCAGTTCTAAAACTATGCATTACAATAGGAGGTTAATTTTTAATGATTTTTAACAAGGAGAAATGATGCAATCCACAATAGGAGCAAGGAAAACCAAAATTAAGGAAGTATTCATGTTTGGAAATTGCTTGGTTTCGAGCCGAATTCAATTGGGATCAATTGGAACCATCTAAATTATGTTTCTAGTCTTGATAGAGTCTTATTTATGTTTATTTTGGGTCTAGAAAGCTGCTGGTCAGTTTTAAGGTTAGGAGTGTTTTGGTAATTTTCAAATTTGTTTACATGGGTTGTCTTGTGGATCAAGTTATTTAATTGACTTTTGTTTATGGGTTTTATTTGGTCTTAGATTGGTTTTGGAAGTCTAAAGTTTAGTATACTTTAATGAAGTTGATATTTTGGCACTGTTTGGCAACTTGGCTCTTTGGATAGCCAAAACGTAAAACAAAATCACCAAAAAAGCCAATAAAAAAAAGGGTCAAACATCTTAGTAATTCATAGTTTTCGATACAACTAAAAATAATTATTCCCAAACACATTAAATTTTTTTGACCTCATAAAAGAGCCAAAAAATAAAAAAAAATAAAAAAACCACTAAAAAGGCCAATTCCCATATGAGGCCTTTATGAACTTTTCATTTGAAGCCTCTTTCAAGTTTGTATAATGCAACCCTAACCCTAGGTGGAATGCATATGGAATCAAGGTGTGATGCCTAGATTTCTTTTTTTCTTTTTTCTTTTTTTTTTCTTCTTTCCAGTTTATTATTCACAAGACAGAGTACACGGAGTGTAAATTTAGTAACAGTAACAATGAAAGCAGAGGAGAAGTGAAGATTGAGAACCAAGAACTGCCTAAGAGTAAACATTTTCGTTATTTAGGGTCGATTATCACAACAACGGGGGAGACTGATGCGGATGTGGCTCATAGGATTAAGGCAGGATGGTATAAGTGGAGAACTGCGTCTGGGGAACTGTGCGATAAATGAATATCCACTAGACTAAAAGGTAAGTTCTATAGAACGGCTATTAGACTAGCGATGTTGTATGGGACGTAGTGTTGGGCAACCAAGAAACAACATGTAGATAAGATGAGCGTGGATGAGATGAGGATACTAAGGTGGATGTGTGGCAAGACTAGACAAGACAAAACAGAATTAGGAATGAGTGTATTCGGGAATGGATAGGAGTAGTACCGATAGAAGATAAGTTGAGAGAGAACGATTGAGATGGTTTGGTCATATTCAACGGAGGCCAACAGAGGCAATAGTGAAGAGATGCGATATTGTAACAATAGATGGAAGTGTTAGGGAACGGGGTAGGTCTAGATTAATGTTGGCTAACATTGTAAATAGAGATATGGATCTACTTAATTTGACTAACGAAATGGCATTTGATAGGGCCGCATGGAGAAGAAAGATTCATGTAGCTGACCCCATTTGATAATGGGACTTAAGGCTTGGTTTGGTTTTGTTTGGTTAGTTTACTATTCACAAGCTCTATTCAAAGCTCCTGAACAGCCCCTGTTTTGATCTTCTTTTCCCCATTTTTATCAACCTTAAACCTAGGCCATTCCTACATTAATTGAAACATTAAAATTCTTACTGATTTTCAGCTTTAAAACCCAATAAAAACCCACAGAAATTTAGTATTAAAATCATTATAGTGCTGTCCGACGTCAAGAAAATAAAGATAGTTCACAATACCAATGCTTCAAAAGAACATACTTACATCTTGGACAATTGAAATCGCTCATACATGGAAGAATTCTCTTTCTGTTATGGAATCAGCCAAACAACAATTAGCATGAATTGTACACTAAGCAAGAAAATGACTACCCTAAGTTGAAATCTCCTTCTACTTCAGTTGATGAAGTAGAAGCTAATTATGAAACTTTAGAAAACGAGGAAACAAAAAATAAATAAAGGAGCATCTTACAAGGGGTTCTCCTTCAGAGAGCTTTTAAACAAATTTATGTATAGATTCCTAATAAAATGAAAGATAAAGATAATTGTCAAAATTACAAAAACTGCCACTTAACTGGAAGTATATAGCAGGAACAAAAACTAAAGTAGAAAAAGTATTCTTACATGTTCTCGTGACAAGCAGGCTGATCAGGACCTTGCCATGTAAGGTCATTGTAGGAAAAATCACTGTGGGAAATCATTACCGTTAGGTGTTATCATCTTGGTAATGATAGAGATATGATAAATTAGTAATAGAAGTATAACCAAGTTAAAAGGACCAATCAAATAGCAGGGTTTTACATAAATGCTTTAAATCCCAAACTAAAGCTCAGTTGATCAAGCAAATCAACTTCCGTTTATGCAATAATATATTTTATGCAAAATAAGGTGTTACTACTAGGATAATGACCATTCATAAATTACAGAGGAGAAAAAGAGAAGTTACAAAGATAAAAGTAGTACTTTCTAATTCCAGGCATGATCAGGAGGGGTTCAATAAAATAAATACTAGTCAGGTTGTTCTTCCCATTGCTGCAGTAAGATAACTAGTTTTTGGAAGTGATGAGACAAAAAATATTAACATTGGAAATAGTTATTTGTGAAACATAGCAAAGTGAGGAAATTTCCATGGTTAATGAAAAATGTGCAATAAAAGTATTGCAGCTGGTTAGCAATCAATTCAATTAGCACCAAAAAACAAAACTAGAGAAAAATCTAGACGGAAGCAGATAGAGAAGATTTAACCTTTCTTTCAGTCACAAAGCCATTAAATAAGTATGAAAAAATATCAAGACAAAGTTCCCAATATTCTTCTTTGTTGGTTGCTGATCAAAAAATAAAAGTTCCCAATAATTTTCATAAGTTTTCCTCCTTGTTACAAAGAAAGCAAGTACTAAATGCATTTCAAAAGTGATAGTCAGGACTGAATATCAACCGATGACAATTTAGAGAAATCAATAATTTAAAAAAATGAAAATTCAGAGAAACCAATTCAGGTACCCCAATTAGAATATTGACAAGGGGAAATTGGGGGAGCTTTGGTCAATACTTCTAATAAGGTAATGACATGACACTCGTTGGACACTTCCCAACACTACACATGAAACACATTACAAATTTGAATAAAATAACTTGAAATTCAATAATAAAACAAAAACAATGTAAAGTTATACTCATTCTCCTCCTTCGACTTCAAAACTATGACTTAACTATTCATATATATGACATATAATAAATATATAAAATTACACTCCACGTGTTGCGTCCTATATTTTTTGAAAATTTTTGTGTCAGTGAGTCCGTTTCCAATCACGTGTCCATGTCCGTGCTTCTTAAGTCAATAGAATAAGAAGTGACAGCAGGACTGATGTACAGTTTTGCTTCCAAAGAAGGAACTTTTTACGCGTAACAGTATGATGGGCTATTGATTGTGACGACCACTCATGTAACATGCACAGCTTAGTCAATAGTGTTGAATGGATTAGTGGAAATTATAAAGCCTGAGATCAGAAACCGGGAAAAGCCTTTCCTAATAATGATTTACTAGTGAAATGGTTTAATATGCAAAACAGAACCCTTTGAGCCACAAATACAAGGTGAGTTAATGCAAGAAGGCCATAACTGCAGAGAGAAAGTCAGAAAGAGCACTAAGTACTTACAGATTCAGAAAAAAAAAAAAAACATGGCTTCTAGATAGAGTGTACAGCTGATACAACTTTCTTTTGCTAACATCAGTTGGGAGAATGCATTGTGAATGCTGAATCCACTGGAAAAAAATTTCCTTATAATACCAAATATAGTTAATTATTTGCTTACTTCTATACTTCAACCACTTATTTTGCCCAACACTACCATAAAGATTAAAATTTACAATAATTTGTGACTCAACTTGATGAACAACAAACATGCACGCAAATACAAATTTCTGAAAATAAGAACTCAAGTTAAAAACATACATACTACGTCCATCCTTCAAGATTGAATCTGGCACATTTCCACTTAGCATGTTGCCACTCAAAAACCTATTCAAAGCCACGCCATATAGTTAATATACTATAAAATGGTGTATGATAACAATGAAATAATCCAATAGATTAGCAATTTCGGATCAAAAGAAATTAATAACATAAAATTGTTGGCACCTTAAGAGAAATTTAAATGTAAAAGAATATTTTTCCACAGAAACACTTCGCCTTGTTGCTAACAACATTTGAGAAATGCTATATATCACCGGTTTTGTCACCATTTTGTATCATAGTCTACATGGATTCTCATGATTAGTTTCCACGTTTGAAGATAATTATTAAGAAATTAATGAATGCAAATGATATCTTGCTATATACTCTCTGCGTAATAAAAGAATGAAAAATATAGGTGATATATAGCAGCCCACACAACTCTCAGATTCGTGGGGAAAAATTTCACTCAAGTACTATTTACAACAGAACCAAATACATCCTAAACTTTTGGTTTCATACTTACATGAATCTCAAACTCTTCCCATTTATGTCATTTGGAATTTCTCCGACTAAACTGTTAAAGCTGACATCCCTGTCCAAATCACAATACGCAATGAGTTAAAAAAGAAGGAGAAAAAGAGCCCATATCCAGAAGTTTTTTTAACAGTCAACTTTATTTGATAAAACCTTCGTTTATACATGTTTTCTAAAGAATAGAAGAACTTTAAGGGTGAAGGAACAAATGTAGAAGAGTGAGAAGGGGAGAAAGGAAAAGGAAAGACAAACCAATTGGTCAGCATATGCAGTAATTGTTCACAAGTACTCAAGAACAGAGAGAATTAAGGTGACATGTGATATTCTATGAAAATGCAAAAAGTGATCATAAACCTCTTCACCAAAAAATACAATAAGAATTCGCCAACTAGTAAACCAAAAAATGTTTAGACACGCTCTGAGAAAGATCAAACAACCCTTCTGTTCAACATGTCAAAATAATTTCATGGGTCACACCTAATGCCTTAGTCAATCCAGTTTGCACATCACAAATTTGACATTGTAGAATGGTATAATTTAAAATCCTAATTTTAGCCTCCTCTAATCAAAGGGAAAGCACATTGGTATTTTTTTTTCTTCTTTTCTTCTTTTATTTTTTATTTTTTATATTTTTTTGTGCCAGGCGAGAAGGCCACCAATCTCCACTCTGCCTGTATCTACTTCTCAAAATAATAATTTCTTCAACTGAATCCAACTATTGCTTTTTATTTTATTTTATTATAGGTGCATAATCAATTGTTTCGGCCAACTGTTACCCCAAACAAATTTTTAGCAATCTAGATATTTGTTGAATATAGAAACTAGAATATTATGTTTAGAATAGGAATTAGAATATTTTTATATTGATTGTAGGAATCTCTCTTCTTGTTTATATTGTTTCCTAAAATTGTATCATGAATATGTTATATATACATAGCCTCTACCTTATTCAAAAATAAGCCAAATAATTCTCTCCATTATTTTTGGTATCAGAACCACCAAACCCTAGCCACCCACCACCCTCTCTCTCTATTTCGGCAGCCCTTCTCACCAATAGCTACCCTTCTCCCTTCCCAACCACTCGATAGCCCCTCCTTTTTCTTCTACCCTAGCCGACAACCACCCTTCTCCCTTCCCAACCCCTCGGCAGCCGTTCAAAACTGCTGCCACCAGATTTTTAGATGCTGACTAGACCCCCTTTGGCTTGGGTCTAGTGTGGTTGCCCCTTTTGGGTAGTTTTACCCCTTGTTTTGATGTGATAAGCACTTTTATGTGTTTAATTTGGATAAGCCGTTGAGTTTTTTTCGACTTCTTACTTTTTCTCTAACTGTGTTGCTATCCTTGTGTGCTTTTCAACCCCTCTTCTTCCACCATAACTGATCCATCCTTTGTTGTTTCATCCGATATACCCACCAAGCCTGTCCCAGTTAGTTCTGATTTTTCTCTTTCTCGTCACACTCCTGTTCCTGTTCATCATATTACGAATGTGGTGTTGAATGGGAAAAATTTTGTCGCCGCTCCCTTAAACTCTATTTAGGCGCCAAGGGAAAAACTCATTGGCTTTTATCTTCCACTACCCAGTCTGCTGCAACAGATCCTAGACATGCACAGTGGGATATTGATAACTATACTATTTTGGGATAGATGTTCAACTCCATGGAAGACCGTATTTATCACATATTTCTCTATTGTAACACCATTCCCGGTCTATGGCATGCCTTATCACAGATGTATGCTCATACTCATAATGAGGCTCGCATCTTTGAGCTCTATCTGGATATTGCTCGTGCTTCCTAGTCTACCTTGGGTCTTCTTTGTCAGAGTTCTTTGGATACCTTTAGGACTGTTGGGAAGAATTAGCTCAATATAAGCCCTTGATTGAGTTTCCAATAGATGTTGCCTCTCTTGTGTCCAAACACCTTGCTTGCAAGAATCCTTACCAGTTTCTGATGGGTTTAAACTCTGAGTTTGAATCCCTTCGAACTCAGATTTTAAGCACATCACCCATACCTTCTCTCTATGAGGCCTTTGCCACCATTAATAGTGATGAGTGTCGTAGGCGTCTAGTTCAGCCGACTCCTTCTTCTCTATCTCCAGTTTCATCTAACCTGATGGCTCTTGCTGCAAAATCAAGTTCTCGGGGTTCTACTAGTCCAGTTACTTATCATCATTGTTGAGCTTCTAGTCATGTTAAGGCTCATTGCTTCAAACTTCATCCTAAGTTGAGGCCACGTTCTTCTCGCCCTTGTGGTACTAGCACCCCTCGAACTATGGCTTTAGTGAATTCCGCTCCTCCTGCTCCTAGGTCTCCTTATCTCCCTAATTTACAAAAGTTACTGACTTAGATTGGTCAGTTTCAAGCTCAGCTTGGATCTCTTACTGCCAGTTCTCATGGCCTATCATATTTCCCTGCTGCCACCCTTGCCACAGGTACTTCTATTGCTTTCCATGTTCGGTCTGCTAGTCCCTCATGGGTTCTGAATTCTAGGGCTAATGATCATATGACAAGTGAGTTTTCCTTTCTTTCTTCACCAATCATATCTGTGTGTCTTGCTGATAGTTCTTTATCCTTTGTTCATCATAAGGGTGTAGTGTCTTTATCCCCTACAATTACTTTATCATCTGTTTTACATGTTCTAAATTTTGCATATAATCTCTTATCTGTTAGTCATCTTGTCAAACAATTTAATTGTATTGTCATCTTCTTACCCTCTGCTTGCCTTTTACAGGACCTCAGTTTGAAGAGGATTTTTGGCAAAGGCTATGAGCATAATGGGCTATACTACTTTGGGGATCTACCGGACGAGCCTTCCTCTTCTTCTTTAGCTAGTTTCCAGGCCTTTGTTTTGTCTACTTCCATGTCTTGTGTTTTTAATATTCAAACTTTAGAATTATGGCACACTTGTATGGGTCATATTAATTTTCACTATTTATGTCAATTTTTTCCTTTATTTAATAAGCCTGCAAAGATTCTAAGTTTCACTGTGTGGTTTGTGAGTTGTCTAAACATACCCGTACTAGCTATATCTCTCATATGACTCAGGCTCCTAGTGCTTTTGATCTTATACATTCAGATGTTTGAGGTCCTTCCGTTGTCACTACTTTCTCTAGTCATAGATATTATGTAACTTTTATTGATGGTCAAGTAAAGAAGGACTTGAGCCAAACTTTTGATATTAAGGATCTGGGATGTCTCAAATATTTTCTGGGAATCGAGGTGGCTCCCTCAAGGAAGGGGATCTCCTTGTCTCAGCGAAAGTACACCCTTGACTTGCTTAGAGATACTGGTATGTTAGGGTGTAAACATGCTTCTACTCCTATGGATCCTAATGTCAAGCTCACATTAGAGTCTGGTACGTTGCCGGATGACCCAGGCATGTATCAATGTAACGCCCCAAATTTCTAACCTAAATGATAATACAACAATCATGGCTTTTTCAAGGAAAACCGAATATAAATCCCCAAACTTACATTACATGATACAATAGTTCTTCATGCAACAATACATTAATCCAACAACAAGTAAATAGACAAATAAATACTCCCAAGGGTTTACAAGTTTCCAAGACTTGAACCTGATTACACAAAACGGTTACTCAAACCCACACACATATAGCCCTTGGCTTACACACAGAGTCACAGCAAAATGAGAGTCTCGTACTCTCAACACACATTTTCTCGCCTTTAGTTAGGCGGTATCACCATATCTTTTCCTGCACAAAAATCTCGTAGGGTGAACATAAAGCCCAGTAGGAAATCCTTAACAAAGTAAAGGGTTTACAAGTTTCCAAGATTTGAACCTGGTTACACAAAACGGTTACTCAAACCCACACACATACAGCCCTTGGCTTACACATAGAGTCACAGTAAAATGAGAGTCTCGTACTCTCAACACACATTTTCTCGCCTTTAGTATATCTTTTCCTGCACAAAAATCTCGTAGGGTGAGCATAAAGCCCAGTAGGAAATCCTTAACAAAGTATATACAATTTATATAAGCCTCAAGAGATGAAATGCACATGCCATGCTATGCCCTTTTGAAAGAAAATCACATCTTCATCTTTGAAAATCATCATGCTCAATGATGTCATGCAATTTCAATTCTTCAAAACTTAATAATTCATTTCAAGAGCGGTAAATACGACTTTGATAATCCCTAGGTCGGTATCTGCAAGTAGACTATACAAGTACTACCAAATTATCATTTTTACCGGTATTAACCGGAAGGCTCGACACCTATCTGCGCGGATTTTCAGTCTTTTACCCCGAACTCTCAGGCCAACTTATTCAATATCATCTACACCACCTATCAAGACTTACCAACGTATTTACTCCAAAACCATTCCATAAAAACTTGTTTCTCAACATTCTTTTCTTAATGCAAGTTTTCAAATCAACTTTCAAAGTTTAATGTAATCAAATGAATTGATATGCCAATTTCACAAAATGAATATAAATACTTTTATTCCAATTCATCATCCAAGGAATAACACAATTCCCTCTTCTCAAATATCCTCAACAATTAGTCATTTCAAGACTATTTCAACGTTTAGAACAATAATTTCCAAAATGAACAGCAATTCTCATATTCTCTGAAATTCATCATTTATATAAATATAAACAAGAAATTTTCCAAACATCTATTTATTTTGACACATAAAATAAATATAACAATATCATTTATGGATTTTCAGGCTCTTTTAAAAAAAATCTCCAAATTCTAGGTTTTCTCACCAAAACTATACAACTCAAATCTCTTGAAAGAAGACTTTCCAAAATCATCTTTTCTTCAATCAACGAAGATCAAAACCCATAAGATCATTTTAAAAGAACAAGAGACAAACCCACTTTCAAAATCGCTCAACTTCTTGAATCAACAATAAATTTTCAAAGCTATCGAAAGATGATTTCGAAAATCATATAGATTTTGTAAGAAAATCCCTACCTCAAGTTTTGAAGAAGAAATGAGATGAAACCAAAATCAACGGTGTCGAAACTCGATCTTCACCGCACACAACGAAGCCCTCGAGAAGTTAACCAACTTTGATGAAGAACTTA